CGAGGAAGTAACAGCAATAAATGGTGATAATTCAAAAAATTTAGATTCAAAACAAAAATTGAAGAAGAAAAAATCAAAATCAAAAAAAGTAAAAAAGAATTAGTTTTATTAATTTTAATTTACATATACTCACTAATTAACTTTTTTTACTTCAGCATAAATCGACTCGTGGAAGTAGTAATCGTCGAAGTAGTAAACGATCAAAATCCACAAAAAAAGTAATATTAAATATTTGTTCATCATTCCTTGCAAATGTCAACGATCAATTCATTTTAGCATCGTCGAAAAGTTTTACCAAAACCATCGATCAATGAATTGTTAGGCGAAGAATCTAATCAAACTGATGAACAAAAAAAACCAAAACGAGTTGTTAAAACGGGAAAAAGAATTGATGAAAATAAGGTAGATAATAAATAATGAGTATTTCAGAAATAATTGCTCTCATTCTGTTTTTTTACAAAAAAAACAGACATCAAACATTTTTCTGTATACTATAAAAATAAAAATATATAGAGAAAATACTAAGAAGCTTTAATCTCGACAATCTTCTAATCCCAAACACAATTTTTTCAAAGGAAAGAAGATAGACATTTTGTAGTCATTGAAAAGCTCGATCCATTGATTATGATTAACATTCTTCATACGATTGGGGAAAATATATTTTTCTTGTATCAATTTTGTCAAATCATCCGTTTCAAACTGCAGTTTCGAGACAATTAGCAAAATTTTTTAAAACTCGGTCGAAATCAAACATTTTTAGATCGGATTTATTTTATCTTAAAGTAGAATAATTCTTCTATCACATTCGAAACAGAAAAAGTTCATCAGTAGCTCTGTTTCTTCTCCTATGTCAAGGCGAAAAAGTATAATTTTCTCGTTTCTGATAAATTTTTGATAAAATTATCTTTTTGTACAAGAGAACACGTTTAAAGCGAATCGATGATATGCACGACACTTCAAAACACTAGAACATACATTTCCATTACACTTTGTTGCATGGAGTTGTTTTCAAAATAATGTTTTTTTTTGCTGTGTTTTGAGTTAGAAAATTATC